AACCAATTTTGTTGAGATGTGTTGATGCTGTGTTGATAACTGCCGAACTTGGCCGGTATAAAGACCGATTGTCTAGGTATTTATTTCATTCAACAGGTCCACTCAGCTAGAAATACGGTTCCAAGCCATCATCGATGATGAAATTATTAATAACGGAGCGGGAGATGAGCATGCCGCCATCGGCTTATAAGGATAACTAGATGGAACGCGGACTTTGGTCAAGTGCCGCTCCGCATTGCCAGGTTTTACCCCAGGATGAGTTTTAAGCTTAACATCTAGTAACGTTGTTTAAAATAGCGAGATCACATGAGGCGATGAGGCTCGGATTTCGCTCTTTAAGATCAGCCTCGGTCTTCACTCTTCCCATTCTAATTGGAACTTGGCCGTTCTTCGAACTGAGTCACCTTTGCCATCACGCCTTTGGTGATTGGCCAGTGCCAGTGCCAGCGCTTACCCGCCGCCCCCAAGTCTCCAGACACAGACAGGCACACACACGTCCTCCCATCATTCATCACTTTTTTGTCAAAAATGATCGACTCAAAGTCCCATCCTTGGGTTGATCAAGTCCTCAAGCTTGAGCTCAATCCTGGCGAGTCTTGCGGCGCCTGGTACAGCCACCTACTGGAGAAGCCTGCCTCGACTGGGGAGTACGTTCGCGGAGGACATTTCGAGATAAAGTCGCTCATCCGTGGGAACATCGTTCTCGGCCGCGAAGATGTCTGCGACTCTTGCCTGATATTGGCCAAGACAACTATCACACTCAGACTATCTCTCTATACCCAGGGTCTTTCAGACTTTAAAGACTTGATGGTTTGTTTCGATTTGGTAAATCTTTCAGAGGGAGTTGTCAACACCACCGTCTCTTGGTACTGTGGAGGTGGATCAAACCTCCTCTTCCGGCAGGCGATCACCATCAGCGAGCTGGACCACCTGAGTCTTGGGCCTTCTATGAATACTTCAGCCCAGTTCTAACCCCTGGATTAGCTTTCGCCCTCAGTTTCAATATCAGCAGTTAAAGAATCCAGATCCAGTGCGAAATCGAAACAGAACCTTGGCTTCATCAGGAAGATGCTTAACCTCTGTGAAGCATGCCATGGCTGTCACCACAACTGTAGGCTTGGGGGTGACAGAATATTGCCTGCCAGGTTGGTTTCTATTGGTGATGCCCACGGTCCTATTCGACTATGAGACCTGCAAGGATGAACAAGGCTATTACGCAGCTCTCAGCCATTGCTGGGGACCACTTTAGAAACGCCCTGTTCGAACTTTGCAAGAGAATATTGACTCTATGAAATCCGAAATCACATGTGACAGCCTCTCTGCTGTGTTCAAGGATTCCATTTGGCTCTGCAGACAGCTTGGTATCAAGTACATATGGTTAAATTCGCTCTGCATCGTCCAGGACGACGGGTCTGACGGGGAGACTGAAGCAGCCAAGATGGCACAGTACTACTCTGAAGCGAGGATTACTATAGCTGTCGACTCTTCTTCTGACGGAACCACGCCGTTTCTTTCACAGGGAAACGAGCGATGGCAGCCTCAGACTTCTTCCTCAGCGCCATACTTGATTGCACGAGAACACTATGACAGGCAACTACGGGAAGCACATCCTATCTCTAACTATCCAACATCCCGTCGCTTTCTGCCAACCAGGGCTTGGGCAATGAAATAATCCATCTTGTCAACTAGGGTGATACACTTCACCCCCTCTGATGTTACCTGGGAGTGTGACGGAGAGACCGTGCCAGAAGACGGATTCCGAGTTTGGGACAAAGTTACCACTCATAAGCCATCAAGACCATTCTTTGATATCGAAATACATCGAAGGGTAATGAGGAGCAGAGAAAAGCCATTTGGGAGTTGTGGATGGGTGTCATTGCGGAGTTTACAGATCGCTCAATCACCTATACAACTGATCGACTGCCGGCGCTGAGTGGGATGGCGTCCCGTTTCCAGGAAATTGTCGGTGGGCGATACTTGGCTGGCATATGGGAAACATATTTCATAGAAGGCCTTTCCTGGACGAGGCGGCGACCCGACAAGGGCAATATTCGAGCGCCCAGTAGCAAGCTCGCTCCAACATGGTCTTGTGTATCCATGAGCGAGAGGGCTCGAGCAGAGTTTCATCATGATCGTGGGATATCAGGGCTACCTTTGAGACTTTATCCGAGGATTCTAGAGGTTTATTGCCAGACTTTAAAGGACGCCCCGTTCGGTCGCGTTGAGGCTGGTCATCTGTTGATCAAGGCACCCTTGTTCAAAGCCACCTTGGTTTACAACACTCGCTCAAGCCACCAGCACATCAAGTACGAGGTTATAATTAAAAAAGACGAAGGTAATCGAGAGCCATGGACCTCGGACGATTTTGACGTGGATTGCTTGCTTTCAGTCAAAGATGGCAACGCTCTCCGAGCGTTTGATGATGACGACCTAGAGTACCTATCAGACCCGACATCGTTTACGGCAACTGCTTGGATCATGTGGCTGGGATACGGAGCTTTGGTACTCGGTAATGACCTAGATTCCAAGGACTTTCAGAGACTTGGGTATCTAGATGCCTCCAAGCCTGGGTCCTCGGGACACATGTCACCCGTTGATGACCTTGAGCGATGGGTAGATTCTGTCAAAGGGACGGTGATGCAATTCCGGCTCGTATGATTCTAGAGTAGAAAAGTTCCGAATGGAATTTTAATGGGAAATATTTAAAAGAACAAACAATCTGAGAACAAATCTTCTGTCACAAAAACATTACAGGATTACCGGTCTAAAGAGATATGTTGACTGAGCTGTGGGTACAGGGAACAGTTAAATAATCTCTATACAAACTAAGCGGGCAATACCAAGTGCTTCGAACGGAATAAACGCCTAAAATGCAATCAGAAAACACTATTCAGCATGTACAGGGTTCCAGACCCAGTGCATTAACTAATTATAACCATCTCGCTGATCTCAACCCCAAACACCTTTACACACAGCCCTATCACCACCACCATCGTGACCGGACCTTCTTATTCTTTGGGGAAGGCATAGACGCGATGCCGTTCATGATCTACGTTCAAAAGTTAGTATCGTTTTCTACAAGTATGTTCAGTACATTCACTCACCTTGTCTAGTTTCTCGTCATGGTTATCACCACCAATGAGCGTTACTAAGAACCGAGTAATTCTATTCAAGGAAAACAGCACCGTGTCGTTTTCATCCTTGATGAATTGCTCTTCTGATTGGACAAACTTGACTTCAGTAACATCTCCCCCAGACGTTTTCGAGGCCTCGAAGGTGATGTGTGTATCGTCTGGCTCAGTCCAGGAGCCGTGGATATGGTTGCCGTCATCGTTTCTGTCAAACTTGAAAGCGCCATTACCCTTCTTGGTATTGTCTCTTTCGCTCCTAGGGTGGCCCTTATCCGTCTTGATATTGTCCTTTTCGGGTTTGGGATAGTCCTTGGCGGCTTTAGGATAGTCCTTGCTAGCTTTGGGATTGTCCTTGCTAGCTTTGGGATAGTCCTTGCTGGCTTTGGGATAGTCCTTGCTGGCTTTAGGATAGTCCTTGCTAGCTTTGGGATTGTCCTTGGCGGCTTTGGGACGACCCCTATCAGTCTTAGAACTGTGTGTATCGCCGAACGTGAATTGATCCTTACCAGTGTCGAAAAAGTCTTTGAGGTGGTCCGTACCAGCGTTAAACCAGCCGGCGTGACCACTTGCTTGGGTGACCGACGCAAACTTGGCTGTGATAATCTCTCGCATCTCTGGAGCATGGGAAGCAAGCTTAAAGCCCAAACCAATGACCAAAGTAGTGACCACGAGGACCCAAAGCGTTTTCAGCAACAGCATGACCTTGTGAAGCCACCACCGGGCTGGAGGGAGCCGGAAAGTGGGAAGGCGGATGCTGTTAGCCATTCCGCGGGCCCTGTTAGTGGAGGCTCGAAAGAACGATGGGCGGTCAGCATTTGCGTAACGGCCATTTCCCTGGGGTCTATTTCCCTGAGGTCTATTTCCCTGGGAGCCGGGGTTAGCCGGTTCCCGTTCAGGTCTTTGCGGCCTGGGACCATGGAACTTCATGATACCACAAGAATAGTCGTTCTTCGGAGTCCCCTCGGGAGCATGGGGAAGAATAAAGACCAGGGGCTTTCTATGCACCTCCATGAGCAAGATGTTCATTGGGGCCTCAAAACCGCTCCAGCTCTCATGAAACCAAAAATTATGGGCGAGCAATGGCCCGGTAGGGTACGTCTCGACGTGGAAACGGACGGCGGTGCAGAACTCGGCGTCTATGGTCTTTCTGGTGGGGCCAAGGGCGAGGGAGTCGTCGCCTGTAGCGGGTGTGGGAGGGCGTCCTTCAGGCATGATGAGAAGTAGGATATTAATTCCAATCTCTAAATCTAGTGGAGAAGGAGACAAGGTATGTCGAAGAATCGAGGAAAGGTGGAAACTGAAGATTCTAGATGAACTGAGTCAACCAAGAGTAATAAGTATGTTTCTAGTACAAAGCCAGTACAAGAACGGCACAAGAGTGCCAGGTGACTGGACACCGAAAAACAAAGCTTTCTCGGCGGAGTAAAAAGGGGTAAAGAGGTAGATTCTCGATATTGAAGGCACTTGTTCAAGGTCAGTCTTTGTGAGGAGCCATTTGTGCGCAAGCTCCCAGCGCTGAACATTGTTGCTATCCCGATTGAGCCACACAAAGATGTCACCTTTCCAAAAAAGGGCATTCTTCGCACAATCAACAAAGGGCGTTCAGTTTTTTTCAGCCTATAACGTGATAGCTAGACAACGCTGGTTGACGCAAAAGTCATAGTATCTTGTTCAGGATCTTCCCGCTGATTTTTTTTGTCGAGGGACCATAATGCCATGGCGCTACGAACTGAACAAATCTGAGCCCCACACATTGAATAACAGGTAATTCATCAACTGAATGTGCCAAGTCGTAGTTACTAGGCGTAAAGGGTCAGTCACATCAAAAAGAAAACACCTCTCCTTTGTAAGAAAAAGGCAAAAAGAAAAGGGTCTGGCCGGGGATTGAACCCGGGACCTCTCGCAAGCTTGCTTTCGGGTTTGCCCTAAGCGAGAATCATACCACTAGACCACCAGACCATCACGTGATTGCTTGATAAGTGGTTTGCGTAAAAGAGAGTATGTTGATGGTAGCCGTAGAGTGGACAGGTGGACAACACACCAAATCTCCGCCCCTCGGCCGAAGAACAGCATAAGATTAATCAATGGAATGAGTTCATCCGGTTTCTCCACAGACGGAGAGATTACAAAATGAACTATCTAGGTTGATCATTTGTCAGCCATGTTGAGATTCTCAGCCCCTGGAAGATCGCGTAGCGTCCTGCACGACCAGGATCACCTGTTTCCATTTCAGGCATAGTGTCTCCGACATGATGCCTTACCCTACGTTGGAGAACTTGACCAAGACGTCAGGACATTAGAAAGCGATAGAATGGAGATCTGAGGGTTGGTGAGGCTGAAAGATATCGCGATGATGCAATTTTCAAACAACACCTATTTCCTAAAGTGGCAATAGGTAGGTTGTCAACTATAACGATGGATTACCATATCGTATCTTCTCGAGATTAATAAAAAGGAAGACTGATCAATTCCTTTTGAGTGTACCTCACCAACACAAACAATCAAGATCAATATCGAAATCGACAACTACCCCATCACATTTTATCACAACTTTAACAACTCCATTCAAAATGACTGCAGACACCCTCTCCCTCGCTGGCAAGGTCGCCATCGTTACCGGATCCGGCCGTGAGAATGGTATCGGTGCTGGGATCGCCATCGCCTTAGCCCGAAACGGAGCGGCTGTCACCATCAATTACATCTCCGACTCGGTCACTGAGCGAGCCAATGCTCTTGCGGAGAAGATCAGGAGTATTGGAGGTAGGGCTGCTGTTGTGCAGACCACCGTTGACACACCTGAGGGCGCCAAGTTTCTCGTTCAAGAGACGCTCAAGGCCTTTGGAACTGATCACATTGACATTCTGGGTATGTCTCTTTCGTGAAATCGTGGAAAAATGAGTGTGGCTTACGTCCTACTAGTCAACAACGCAGGCTGGGGAACTGCTAGTGCAAGCCTTGATATGAAGTCCGAAGATATTGCTAGGACCTTTGACGTCAATGTCAAGGGCCCTATCTATGTTTCTCAAGCTGCCGTGCCTCATATGCCTCCCGGTGGCCGAGTCATCAACATCACGTCTACCGCTTCCAAACTTGGCCAAGCTGATATTCCCATCTATGGAGCCTCTAAGGCTGCCCTGGACAGCCTTACCTGGTCGTGGGCCAAGGAGGTAAGATATACCAAGAATAGTAAGCGGAGCGAGCTGACACGATGTAGTGGGGACGTAGCCGCGGCATCACTGTCAACTCTGTCGCTCCCGGCCCCGTTGCCACGGATATTGTTCCGCCGGAACTTCAGGAGGAGCTGCACCGGGAGCACGTCAACAATACCAGGGCTGCTCATAGGGTCGGTACCATTGAGGATATTGGTGATGCCGTTCTGCTTCTTGTGTCTGAGAAGTCCCGATGGATCACTGGACAGTACATTTCCGTTAGTGGTGGAGTGAGCAACTAAGGTCGGATATAAGATGTCGGGTCTATGTGAACTCGTTTCTATTGTATGAGCCCCGAGTTGAAGCTTTATTTAGATAGACAGCAATTCAACTGCCAATCGCATCTCACCCCGTTTGAAGCAAGGTTGTAGCTACTTCTTACCTCGCTAAATATGTAGCACCTGGCCCTCACAAGTTTTGACCGGCGTTGCTGAGGTGGGCCCACCAAGGTGATGCTTACAAATGGACATTCCTCACACCCGTCAGCACCATCTCCCTATAAGAAACGCTAGTTGGAGATGTTAACCTGTGAATCGATCTCCTCAAGGCTATTGTTAGCTCCTATCTCAAATATGGTATCATCGCGATCCAGTCGAGGGCGTGAAGCCTCCAAGCCCCGCAAACCCGACCTGATGTTTGTCAGTATCACACGTCCCGATCAGATCAAAGACAGAAATACGCAAAGGAAGATCAACCGCCATGTTATGAAACCGATTGGCCTGGCGAGACGAAGGAAACCAAAGAATGAAAGGTTAGAGCTTTCTCTGAGACCAGAAGGCCCGTCATCGTCTACCGCTGTTGTACTATGGCAAACAGACGACAACGTCGAGTATGCTTCCAATCTATACATGCGAAGCATTCCTTCGCCAATGAACGCGGATCAAGAGCTCAACTATCGACATTTTTCGAGCCGTGCGCACAAAATCCTCGCCTTTCGTAAGACTTAACAGTATTACTTGCGTTCCGTATGTGTACTGACGACAACTAGTGCGTGAATGGGATTCGCCTGTCTGCTCGATGATGCGAGAGCTATCCTTTACTCTAGCCATGATGCATGACAGCGCTATGCATGTTGCTCTTGCCCTGACACTGGTCTTTTCCCAGGAACACAAAAAGCATCTACTAGAGGAGAGCAACAGATCCCTAGATCACTACAATAAGTCAGTCAGTCTCGTCAACCAACAGATAACCAATATTGGCAACATTGTCTGTGATGCCCTTATCGGTGTCGTCATCATTTTGGCCTGCTATGATGTGAGATTTCATTGTACCCTATCCTCTCTACTTAGCTAAGTCTGCCCACAGGTATGTATATTTAACTTGGATCGATGGGTAATCCACATGACAGGATTGGAGAGAGTAGTAGAGCTTCGTGGCGGATTCCACAAGATTAGTTCTCGTTATCTACAGACGGCGATTATCTGGTATGACATGCCTTATTGATCATCGTGGCTGAGACTGAACTATTACAGGACAAGCTTGACTGGCTCGATGATGCTCGATAGACCTTCGTTCTTTGAACCTGCTGAAGAGCCATTGCAGACGCTGGGCGTATCGCATCCTCTGGGCACAGTTACCAGAACACTTCGAAAGCGGCTGTCAAACCATGCAGATATATGTACCCTACTGGAGTCCATGTCTGAGTTTGCAACAGCAGCGAGTGAGAAGTCGCCGTGGACTAATGACCCCATATCGAAGCAAAAGCTGCAGCTTATCGTGTCCACGATGCTGAAATTGTCTCGACATGACATTTTGAGCATCCGCGACAATGGCGTTGCTCTCTATGAGGTGCTACGTCTGGCTTCACTCCTCTTTCTCTCAGGCCCCTCCATGAAGCTTGCTGGGAACAAAGATGGCAACATGATCATCTCCTATCATCAAGGACGACTCCCAATGTTTCTCAGATCTTACATGCTTGATTGGACAGGCTTGGAGGACTTGGAACTCTGGGTTTTGGTCATAGATGGGTTGGTCGAAACAGGCCAAGACCAAGAGTGGGTCCTGGGTCAGATCAACCGCACGATGCTAATGAGGAAGCTTAGCTGGGATGACGTTCTTGGGACCTTGGCTCGGATTGCTTGGACCGATGGCCGGTGGACTCGCACAGTATATCAGCTGCGCGCAGATCTGGAACAGAGATATAGCTTCCCAGGGTGAAAACTGTTTTCAGAGATAGAGGGCGCATCTCTTTGATGCATCTAGTGGGAGTCAGTCGGAGCAAATTAGAAAACTTGTCAACCCTGGCTACTTGATCAATTCTTTCGTGAACTGCCTCGTTCTGGTGTTTGCTCAAAGTTGCTCTAGCATGACTTGACAGCTTGTCTAGATCATGACATTGGACGGGTAGGCCTCCCATGACTGATGACTCATTCGATGGCTGCCTTATTTCTGGTCATCTTACAGCTAGAGCTGCTATCACGTGGAATAAGCAGGATTCCCATATCGACGCATTGAAGCCAATTCTTACTTACATCACTTCCACCTAAACTCACTTCAATCAACGCTCTACTGACGACATGCCTCCAAAAAAGAGTTCAAAATATCCAAAATCCGCGACGAAAAGATCAAGGGCAACAAAGAAAGCGACAGAGGTACAGAAACATGTGACCAGTCCAGGTCGAGTATCAGACCTGCCCCAGCTCGACTTTTCCAGGACCAATCTCTCGTCTTTACCGCAAGAACTATTGGACTTGGTACTTGACAACGTGGGTCGTTACAAACACGCGTGCTGGAATATGACTGATACAACCACAGATCCAGGAGCCATTGACCCTGAGAAGACTCGGTCAGACCTGCAAACGATATCATCAAGTCACAAAACCGCGCATCCAGCAATACCTGCACATTTCGGTTGACTCCCGTGGCCATGTAGATAGATTGATACGTGTCATTGAGCCACATCTCAGCATTGCTCAGAGAAAACAACTATTGAGGGATGGCCAGCACAAGGGCCAACAAAATCGGTTCCCACGTGGTGTCGAGGAGGACGAAATACCAAGCTGTGCATCTCGTGTTCGCCAGTTGACTTTTGGCATCCTCCCTCAAAGGCGTTCGCATCTTTACCTTGCCCACAGGTACCTTGAGGAAGCCTTCAAGAATATGCAGAATGCCGAAATTGTCGATGTCGGCTCTCTCACACCGTCGGTGCCTCCTCTCACTTGCATCCGTGCGGACACTGACACGATTGATAGATCAATGGGACATCACATTGCGTCAATGAAGAACCTGAAAGCCTTGAATATGTTCCTCGACCATGAATCGCTCGGACGCATGTACCCTCTTGGAGACATCACAAATCTGCAACATCTGAGGGTTGTCAGCCATACTGTTGGCGAGGCCCTTGCACACGACAACGTGGTTCTGTCAATACTCTTCAACTCGGCGTCGACACTTCGCAGCCTTTCTTTAGAGACGAATCCCTGGCAGCTGGGCAATTTTCTGCTTGGCTGGGAACAGATGGCTTCTGAAGCTGACTGGATCGACCAGGATCGTGTCTATCTCAGCTCCCTGAAGTCACTCTCACTTATTGGTCTTCGTTTCAACCAAAGTCTGATTAATTCACTGGAAAACATCATCGACTTTATGAGCTTGGACGACCTGACGATTGGGAGAGTGTCAACAGGTGCCCTTCGCCTCTTTCCATTTCTCAGAAGGTTGGCTGCTGAGGCCGACACAGCAACAAGCCTACGCAAACTATCTTTAGTCATGTCAGGCGAAAGTGCGTTGCAACATCTTGGAGACCTAGGGGCT